TTTCTGGTTGAACGTCGGGAGTTGTCTAGGGAAACACTGACCGGTATGCATTTTCAGCAAGTAGTATCAGATCAGTTGGGAGTGCCTACATCCCCGAAAACAAGAGCCAACCAATCACTCAGGCCACGTGTGTTTTCTCTACAGCGCTGTCAACTTAATAGTGGCGCCTGTCCACCGGCTGCCTCCCTTGAACCTGATCGATCGGCGTATTCCAATGATCAACAAGCTCGTCTAGAATGTTCTTCCTGAAGAACATTGGGCAGAAGGCAGACGAACCAAAGTGGGGTGTTATAAATATGCCTTACTTGCAGTTAGTCTTGACTTACAGTTTCCTACTACACCTTGAATGTCCGATCGTGTTCTCCTTCTCTACCGTTTGGGTATTGGGAACAAGATTCGAGTGCGTATACGCTCCAGGTGATTCAAGTACGAGGCCGGGTCATAACAACATCCCCGCTGGTAGTTCTCGATGACTGATGTCCTGATCGATGTCAACCGAACGACTGTGCTTGACAGCTGGTCCTCATTGGCTGCTGCATTGGCAAGTTTCCATAAATCGTAATTGTTCATGTCAGAGCTGAAGCGACGTTTGTGTTTCTGTCACGGTTAAGGGAAGGGAACTTTTTGCCGACTGTCTGCCTTCACTGCGGTCATAGGACTGCCGATCTGGTACGAGTTTCTGTAGAGGGATCCTGGCAGTGAAGTCATCCCAGTCGCTTGACCATCGCTGCAACTGGAGACTACATATGCCTTCACGTATGAAGCCTCACAGAGTAAAGCACGTCTTCTTTTGAGGAACTGGAGGGGGGGGGAGCGGCATGCCTCCTGTATGTACCAATGACGCCCCTGTAATCGTGCCCGAACCTTCCACACCTGGAGGTGGGTAAAATAACTTTGTACCGCGGCGGAACCGCCTCTGTTAAGATTAGTACGCTGGCCAACTTGTTTCTAACAGGACGGACCTTCAACATCGGCGTACTCTCGCGTCCCAATAGCTGATTGTATAGCTAAACTACTGTCTTATAGCGTCTGCGGACAAGGTGCTTTCTCTTCTTGAAGCAGGAATCTGTTTAATTTTTTGTAAGTTTGCAAATACCGTATATCAGTTATTAAGTCGCGCTGTAGTTCCCTTTGTACAATCTTGAACTACCGATCTCGTCATCTTACCTGGACGTATTTTTTAGTTTTTTAATAGCTCTACGAAGTTTTATATGTGAGATTTGCGTCAAATCCTTTTCCAAAATGTGTCCATGAAGAGGCATTTGGACAATATACACCACTGTATGTTTATTTTCTCCTGCGTACCCTCTTTCTTCAACCACGCTATTTAGCCCTCACTGGCCCTCCCTCATTCTAATCCTCACCGTTTATTGTTTATTATGGACTATTAGGTGTATGTAGTAACTTTTATATTGATAGGCAATCCCTATGGTGGCGCTGGAAAATCATAAAATTGTCAAGGCCTACCCATCAACCTCCAACTTAAACTAACTACTGAATGTCCATTCCCACCTCGACTGAGGAGCTTAAATTTGGCCGAAAAATGTATTTACATTGGTGCCTTCAAAATGACTAGATCCTAGCTGTTCACATTTCACGAGAGTTTTGCTAGTTTCTCGGAAACTGCCTTTTTCTAGTTTCAGAAATCGTTGACATTGTAACTAATGCGCTCCTCTCGCCACTGACGCCTTTTTGGTTGCCAAATTTCCCCGGATTTAGTTTGCATAGGTAATGTGCCCTCATGTTGTTGTGGTAGAGTCCTCTTCTTATTGTTTTAAATTTTTTTGAAATGATATCCTGGCCGAGAGAGATCTCAGTTCTACCTTCGCTCAATATTGGCCATACTTATCTTGCAGATTTGCGAGAGTACAAGGCATTTACACAGAAAGGACACCTGAACCAGCACATCAACGCTATTCACAAAAGTACGCCCCAATTCCCACACTTCCTGACCCCTTCTTTTCGACTTTTACTTCCACTGTAATGTGGTGTAGACTTCCTGCGCGGTGCTTGCTGCCACTGACCAGATTGGTTGCTTTTCTTTGTACGTTCTCTAACAGTGGGTAATTTTTCTCGTCCAGGGACACCATGCCTGAACGCAACATTAGCTGAACAAATGTTAAAAATATTCAGCCGAAACGTTCTTCATCAGAATTGAGGAAGGATCTCCTAATCGTGCCTACGATACCTATTGCCTCCTTTGATACCTTGGTACAGTGAGACGATGTCTTGAGTGTTGACTTCATCCACAGACCGTGGTCTCTTATCTTGTTGATTGATTCGAGTTGATGACCTTCAACAGAGTAATGAGATTCAGCCCTCAACGGCCTCCTGCTGCTAGATCGTAAGCGGAAAAGTTCGCACTTGTTAAGTTTGAGGCTAAGACTCCACGCATCACAACATTGTTGCAAGCGATTTAGATTATTTTGTAACTATAGAGAGACCTCCGAATTCTCCATTTGTTTCCATAATTTGAGAGCATCGGCAAACATTACGCACTCGCAGTTCAGGCACGCCAATCAGTCGTTCACATATATCAAGAACAGAATTGGAACCAGAACGCTCCCTTGAGAAACGCCACTGTGAACGGATACCCATTCCGATTTAGCGTTTTTGATACACATACGCTAAGATCTGCCCGAAAGAAAATCGGTTAAACATTTCACAGACGTGAAGAAAGTGGACGACAGGTTGGCCTTATCTGAGTTTTCAGACAACATATTTCCTTGGCATATTTCCTTGCAGTCCCGGTTGCTTTTCGCCTTATTCACGTATCCAAATACATTTTTTTGGATTTTGCGGGATATTTTGAATAGTTTTGACTCCAATTCTGTTCGTTACCTTCTCAGC